AAAAAATAGGTACAAGAATGCCAATCCCCCCCCCCCCATTTCAGACAAATATCTTATGCAGAACTCTTGAAACCATGACTTTAAAACCAAATTTAGTGGCCTTCCTTGATTCATAAGTTATGGTGGTGGAGGGAAACTTAAAATAGCCTTCTATTTTAAGACCCCCAAAAATTGAAATTTCAACTGCTTAGTTAATTGGATTACATTTTTGGAGCAAGCTATTATGGAAATTTTAATACTGAAATTCTACTGCCTGAAGAAGATAGGAAGTGGATTTTCCAAAGATTAAATATAGACATAAGCAAGATAGGAAAAAATCTAATTTTTGGACATATTTTTGATAGGTATAGAAAAATGGGAAGTGTGATGATGATGACAGTACTGTAATAAGCAGCAGTAAGAGTAGTAAGTGCTAGAGCTCTAAATATTTGTTTTGGTTGACAAGGTGTAAAAGAAAAGAAAAATCTGATATTAGGATTCAGTCTGGTCATTGTGCCAAATAGCTTTAATTGATTTTTTTAAAAAAACTGCTTTACACAAACTATGCAGACAGAGAATTCTATTCATTCCCCCTGCTGTACATTTTTATTGACAAAGTCTATTCCCTTTCTCTCGGGACATTTTATATGCCTTCAGTTATAAGTTGAGAGCTGAGTGGACTCTGGACTGAGATCTATCACCAGCTCATAACTCTTCAATGTAAGAGGGCTGATGGAATAAGCAGTTGTATCTTTGAAAAAAATAGCTGAAACCCTGTTGCTTAACATAGCAAGTTGCAACTAGAGTAGGCCCGTTGAATTAGTGGCATTTATTCAGTTGGCCCGTTCTAGTTGCGACTTAATACACTTGTTCTTTCAATAGCGCTACAAGCACTCTCCGGGCGGTTTACAATTTTAATTATAAAGGCTACACATTGCCCCCCCCCAGCAAGCTGGGTACTCATTTTACCGACCTCGGAAGGATGGAAGGCTGAGTCAACCTTGAGCCGGCTACCTGGGATTTGAACCCCAGGTCGTGAGCACAGTTTTAGCAGCAGTACAGCGTTTTAACCACTGCGCCACGAGGCTCTTAGTAAATTAGTGGCATTTATGGAGAAGTTGACTCACCAGATCCTAACTCATTCAGTTGGCCCATCCTAGTTGCAACTTAATACACTTGTTCTTTCGTTATTAAGTTGTGTCCGACTTTTGTAACCCCATGGACCAGAGCATGCCAGGCCCTTTTGTCTTCCACTGCCTCCTGGAGTTTGGCCAAATTCATGTTGGTAGCTTTGATGACACTGTCCATCCATCTTGTCCTCTGTTGTCCCCTTCTCCTCTTGCCTTCACACTTTCCCAACATCTGGGTCTTTTCCAGGGAGTCTTCTCTTCTCATGAGATGGCCAAAGTATTAGAGCCTCAGCTTCAGGATTGTCCGTCCAGTGAGCACTCAGGGTTGATTTCCTTCAAAATGGAAAGGTTTATTCTCCTTGCAATCCAGGGGACTCTCAAGAGTCTCCTTCAGCACCAAAACTCAGAAGCATCAATTCTTCGGCGGTCAGCCTTCTTTATGGTCCAGCTCTCACTTCCATACATCGCTACCAGAAAAAACATACTTTTGACTATGCAGACCTTTGTTTCTGTTCATGGAGTTTTCTTGGCAAAGATACTGGAGTGGCTTGCCAGTTCCTGCTCCAGGTGGATCGTGTTTAGTCAGAACTCTGCATTATGACCTCTCTGTCTTGGGTGTCCCTGCACGGCATAGCCCATAGCTTCTCTGAATTACTCAAGCCCCTTCGCCATGACAAGGCAGCAATTCATGAAGGGGACTTAATACACTACACAATTAAATTTCAGCCAATAATGTATTTGAAAGATAATAAGCTGCACACAATGCATGGTTCTAGATATAAATTCTTAGGGAAATTCATAGTGATCTTTGAAGTCACTTAATAAGTGTGATAGTTGCATCTTTATTTGCTGTAATTGGGTGAAGAAAAGACAAACAAGTGGATCCTGGAACAAATCAAGCTTGAACTGTTTCTAGATGCAAAATGATGAAACTGACACTGTCATACTTTGAGCATATCGTGAGAAAGCAAAAATTGTTGGAAAGGATAATTATGCTAGAAAAGGTTGAAGGCAGCAGGAAAAGAGGAAAACCAAATATGAAATAGATTGACTGCCTTTGGAAGCTATAGGCTTTTATTTACAAGAGCTGAGTTAAGGACAAGAGAACTCTTCGGAGTTTACTCATTCGTAGAATCACCGTAAGTCAGAGACAACTTGAAAGCATCTAAAAACAGCAACAATCTTAATGAACCCTTGGTGGTCAAGGCAATGTGGGGTTGTAACCTTTTTGCTTCTCTCATGCAAAACATTCTTAATATTCAATCTGCTACCAGGATTGCAGTCCAGACAAGTGAGGAGAGTTGTCCACTAATACTTGCTCCCCTTTAGACTCAGTATCTGGAGAATTTTACCTTGCTAAATGGGTTCAATGGCACAGGCAGTTCATAAGCCTTCTACACAGAAATCTCACAAGAGCAAAAAAAGTTTGCTCCGGACAGACAGAAATATCCAGTGTCTATTGATGTTGACATAGTTTGTTGCATCTCCACAATTGGGGTTTGGCTGTTTCTTTGTTGAGGGTTTTTTTTAAAAAAAAGTAATTGTGGCATGGGAGCCAATAGGCCCATTGAAATTGTTTTTAGTATCTCCCATGGCAAAGGTTTTCTCGAAAGCATGCAAATGCAAGTAGATAAATAGGGCCACCTCGGTGGGAAGGTAACAGCGTTCCGTGTCTAAGTCGCACTGGCCATGTGACCACGGAAGATTGTCTTCGGACAAACGCTGGCTCTATGGCTTGGAAACGGGGACGAGCACCGCCCCCTAGAGTCGAACACGACTGGACAAAAATTGTCAAGGGGAACCTTTGCCTTTACCTATGCTGAAAATCTGTGGCTCCACATAAATCACTTCTGAGATTATTACTGGTGGTTTTGTTTTAATTAATAAGCTTTTTGATCCTCTAGGTGCAATATTTGTTTGCTTTTTTTCAAGGTAGCATTTTTACTGGTTGTTAGCTTCTGCTGGAAGAATGGCAGAGCCATGTGCTTTGGGATTGACCGCTCCCCATTTAATGTTTGAGAAAGAAAAAAATAGTTTTGAGACACATTTCCTTTCTGCATCAGGTGGTTTCTGAGTTCCATCTTAGTGAGGATATTGTTTTGGCTGTCTTTTTTATGTGGCATATCTCATTTAAAATTTGCCTTGCATATTTTAAATATTAAAAGAGCCCTTTCTTTTTATGTTCATAGAACTAAAACTTTCCAAAGGAGTCAACTTTTGGTTGTTGTGGGTTTTTCGGTTTCTGTAACTGTGTTCTGAAGGTTGTTTTTCCTAACGTTTCGCCAGTCTCTGTGGCCGGCATCTTCAGAGGACAGAGAGTAGCACGCTGTGGTGCAGTTCAGTTAGTTGGAGAATTAGCTGTGGGTTCAGCTTTTGTCCTATTCAGGAGATGGGTGATAATGGTGATCAGTGTGTTTTTGTTGTGGGTCTGTTGTTGTTATAAGCAGGAGAGATTATCTGTCACTGTGCTTGATGGGTGTTCTTAGCTGGTCAACTTTTGTCTATTTTTCCAGCCTTAAGAAAAGGATACCTTATTCTTCCCAACATTTTGCTATGTGGTTTGTTGCTGTGATTACCTTGGCTTATCAGTTGACTAAGTTGCCTGAATCACTTGTTGTAAAGAGTCAATTCATCAACACTTAACAGAATGAAGAAGAGTGTTCCTTTCTACCATTACTGGTGTGGCAGAAAAGGTTATTTTCATTGAGGAGCTAAGAACATGTGTGAAATGGGAAAGGATAGGGTTCTGCCAAAAAAATTTGGACCAGTCCCTGCATAAGCATAATACCCATATGTTTGTGTTCTTGGTCAACCATCCACAGTTACATGTAAACAGCCCATTTTCTACAGAAATGAAAGTCATTTCATTCTGTGATACTGAAGGTGAAACCTTTTATCTTGGCCTTATCCAGAAAGTTCATTTTCTGTTTCTGGTGGCTTATGTTCTGTGTGATTCTGTGGATGGAGTTCTTGATGTAGGGCAGCTTTCCCCCCACTCCAACCTTTGAGTTTTGTGATAGATATATACCAGGTCTAGGAACTTTTGTGAAGTTGTACCCTTGACAGGTACAGCCATAAGTAAAAGGAAATACAGAATGCAGGGTAGGTGTATTTTTTCAGTTCTGCCACTGTATTTGGTGTGTTCCACTGGTGGATTACTAATGATGATAGCATATATTACATTCTACTAGTACAGTGGCGTTTCTCATAATCTCTCAACCAGCATACTTTCAGTAAAGGGTGACATTTCTCTTTTATTACACCCCAGAGTCTTTGGACTGTATAATTTTAGGGCATTGATTTGTGGGTCTGCCATGTGCCTGAAAGATACAGTATTTTCATCTGGCCTGTTCAAGGTATTTACACATGTGAACATTTCTAAGATCATTAATAAGATTATGGAAAAGTCAATAGAAGTGCTGACTGTTAACTAGTTTGCTTGCCAACCCACCAGCTTTCATAGCTTTCATCTTTACCAAGTGCCAAGCTATCCTCTTGAAACTAATTAACATTTATGGCAAATGTGGGATAGTGCCATGTTTATATAAGAATGTAACACACAAGCAGTGCCATCTGCAGCATGCTGCTACATTATCCTTTATTTCAGTCTTGGCAGGAAAAAATAATTGCCATGCCATTTTTTAAATTAATTTTTTGGTAGGAAGTCAAGTGTTACTGTATATACTCTGATTCTTCAAAGAAGGACCTTCTTGATTCCCATGTTAGCAGGGTGTATCTGACACAGAAAAGGCAGAAGTCCATCATTTACAGTATTTTTACAATTTGGTTGTCTAAAAGATGTATTTTATTTTTTAAAACTTTAACATTTAAAGATAGTGAATATCTTTTTATCTTATGTTGCATTATGATGTACCGTGTGAGTGTTTTTAGTTTAGTTTTGTTTTATTTACTGTTGATTTATTTGTTTCTAGTACTTCTATACTACCCCATTAGTGCACAACACTGTTCTGGGCAGTTTACATAAAACCGCAAGATAACTAAAACCACAGACATAGCATAAAACAGTACCATAAAAAAAAACCAGTGTAAGCTCAGAAGGCACAAAGAATTAGAGCAGTGGAACAGGGGTGGAAGAAAAGAGACTGCCTTCAAAAGCCTCCTGAAACAGAAGCATCTTCAGCAGCCTCTTAAAACTAGTGAGGGAGGGGGCCAGGCATAGGTTCCATCGGGAGGCAATTTCACAGGGATAGTGCCACGGCCCAATTTCTTCTCAAAGATTTATTAGTCTCCTTCAGTGTAGCCACCCACAGGAACATAACTTGAGAAGATCTAGTGGTGTGGGCATATAACTTTGCGCAACACTTTCCCAACATCAGGGTCTTTTCCAGCGAGTCTTCTCTTCTCATGAGATGGCCAAAGTATTGGAGCCTCAGCTTCAGGATTGTCCGTCCAGTGAGCACTCAGGGTTGATTTCCTTCAGGATGGATAGGTTTGTTCTCCTTGCAGTCCAGAGGACTCTCAAGAGTCTCCTGCAGCACCAAAACTCAGAAGCATCAATTCTTCAGCGGTCAGCCTTCTTTATGGTCCAGCTCTCACTTCCATACATCGATACTAGAAAAAACATACTTTAGGCTATACGGACCTCTGTTTCTGTTCATGGAGTTTTCTTGGCAAAGATACTGGAGTGGCTTGCCAGTTCCTGCTCCAGGGGGATCGTGTTTAATCAGAACTCTCCACTATGACCTGTCCGTCTTGGGTTTCCCTGCACCGCATAGCCCATAGCTTCTCTGAATTACTCAAGCCCCTTTGGCATAACAAGGCAGCAGTCCGTGAACAGGAAGGACTTTATAGGACTTTACAAATCTAGTGACCTCTTTCTCTTTTGTTTGTCCCCTATGACTCTCTTTCTCTTTTATGAAATTATAATTTTATTATAAAATACTTCTGTGTCACTTTCAGTGCATCTTGTTTAAAAATATATATTAAAGGTAGATATCCTAACTTCTGTGACTAGAAGCACATATGAGTACTTTTCCACCTCCTCTTTACTGTGTTGCTGTCTTTGTCATCAAAACGCTATTCCTGATCTCTGACAGAGTAGCTGACAGAGTAAGATGTGGTGTGATAATAGCATTAAGAGAAATGAATTGTGTTAAATTTGAGGCTGGCAGGACATTGCTTTCTACCTTGCACTAACAAAAATGTTTCTGACTAATGCAGTTATTTTGGATTGAAGGCACCACAAAAGGAGTGCCAAAATAATCTTACATCTATTGAATTAAGCAGAAAACTTTAGCCTACTATATTAAAGGCCAATTTTTTAAAATGAGTCCTGTGTTCCAACTGTTATGTGCTGTCAAGTGGCTTCCACTTTATGGAATCCTAGGGTTTAGCATTGCTACCCTATGATGAGTTTCTATGGCCAAGCAGTGATTTGAACTCAGATCTCTTGCATCCTAACTGAACACTGTATTTACTACACCACATTGGCATGTCATGTATATTCCATGTTAAAAGCCAAATAAAAGAAAGAATTGCAAAAATTTGGGGGAAAGTGTTTCCCAGACTTGGTAACTGCTGTAAAAGGCCTGCTCCTACCTGTAACTTTTCTAATTTTTAATTAAGTACAATATATCTATCCTATTCAGGGCATGGTACAGTCAATATAAACAGCTAAAACATTTTAAAGATAATTTAAACCATTCAAAACAGTTTAAGAAGTTCAGAGTGTAATCTGCAGCCTAACAGATAAAGGTCAAACTATAATGCTCAAGCAAACAGATTTGATATGTGGCAATATCTACACCAGTTGGGTATCCAGGCAGACAGCATTCCACCCCTGGGTGTCACTGTGAAGACAGCTTGTACCTCCTCTTGTGGATCTGCAACATAGTCCAGGGGCAAATATTCATTGAAAGTATGTGTCATGGCTAGTGGCAGGAGAAAGACTTGATTTTTATAACAAATGGCTAATTTTGTCATTTTTATTTTGCAGGAGACACATGAAATTGTGGCCATTAAGAAATTCAAAGACAGTGAAGGTAATTTTTCCATTTATGTGGATGAATATATTTGCAGTGAAATCCATTAACTTTTCAAATTCATTAATACTGTATTCAGTTCTTTAGTTATTGTGTATTGTTGCATTGTTGTTTTCATTGAAGGCTGCCCCTCTCTGAGGCTAACAGTAGTGTAGAAGTATAAGAGCTTACCTTTTTGTGTCAAAAAGGAGAGTATGACGAGATCATACTGTTATTCCAAAATTTCCTCAGATAGCATCTTAATTGTGCATGAAAGGTATTCTTTAACAGCCCCACAATAGCTGAAGTTATTATTTATAATAAATTATTATTTATAATAAACACATTTTTAAAAAAATCTGATATTTCTTTCCTACTTTGCTACGTTTGGACAAGTTTGCTCTGGTTGTGTTTGTTTTTCTTTTGTTACTGAAAAGTGTTGCATTCCTGATGGAAAAGAAATTTGGAAAGCATTAAGAATAGAACAGGATAATGCTCTATAAAATTGCTTAGCAAAGCAAACCTGTCCAAAGCCAATCAAGCAAGAAGAGAAACTTAAAATGAATTACTTTAAAATAATAATAATAATTACATGAAAATAATCATTTCAGACAATTCTGAAGCTGCTAAAAAAATCAGTCTCTTAACATGTTATGAGTTGCATGTTACAGATGAAATTGTGTTGCTCAGCTCTGTGTGCACAGCAGGGATGATACCATTTTCAGCGACAAATCACACTGATTAAAGGCTTCCTTTGGTGATTTCAGAATGCACATGACTTCATTACATTGTGTGTGGGTTGTGTGCAACTCGAAATTATCTTTAATCAATTGAGGTTTGCCCCTGATGGTGATATCATCGCTATTGCACATGCAGATCTGCGCAACAGGACTTGAACCTATGAAGCTTTGCCACTTTTGTGACTGGTATTAAAATTTTAGTGAAGCTCTGGTTTAATAGTTGTGGGCTTTGGTGATACCTTTAGAAACAGTAGTATACTTTACACACCTTTTTCAATTTTTAGAAAATGAAGAGGTCAAAGAAACCACTTTACGAGAACTTAAAATGCTTCGTACTTTGAAACAGGAAAACATAGTGGAGCTAAAAGAAGCTTTCAGAAGAAGGGGGAAACTATATTTGGTGTTTGAATATGTTGAAAAAGTAAGTTTCTTATTTATAAGAAAAGTTATTACATAACTCAGGTGACTAAAGTTTAGAAATGAGTATATATTACATAGCAAGGTTAATATACTTTTTATGCATTGAAAAGTAATATTGGTTACACTTACAAATATTCCTTTGATTCTTATAGAAGTTATATTTACTGAAAATACAGTTCTATATTTACCAAGATGGTAAAACACAAGGGAAATGTATTTCATGAGAATAGGACGGAGAAGCTGCATAGTGGCATGTTAGCACACTCTGTAGGTGTAAAACTACAGTGCCTGTGCATTTTCTTACATGATTTGACCTTTAATGACTTACAGACAGAAGGAAAATAATCCTCAGAAGTTGGAATTTGACAGCATTAATACAGAAAACAAAAGGCATGCTAGACTAGCAGGAGTATATGTGAAATAAGGAACATTTTTTTAAAAAAAACCCAAAATTGAGGGAGTGGAAGCAAATTAATAATAGTATATTTAAGAATGTAGTAGATACTTTGTGGCATCATTGCTTCTACCACAGCACAGACATCTTAAAAGGAAATACAGTGGTGCCTCGACTTACGAACTTAATCCGTTCCAGAAGATGGGTTGTAACTCGAAATGATTGTAAGTCAAATCACCATTTCCCATAGTAATTGCTTTGCAATTAATCTGTTCCGGCCGAAGGGGGGAAAAAAACGATAATCTGTTCCGGCCGAAGGGGGAAAAAAAACCCCAAAAGCCAATAAACGCTGCAAGACCCATTGAAAACGCAATTGATCCGTTCTGACTGAAGGGGGAAAAACCTGAAAAGCAAACAAACCCTGCAAGACCCATCGGAAATGATAATCATCATCATCATCATCATCATCATCATCATCACCACCACCACCACCACCACCAAAAAGCAAACAAATATTGCAAGAACCATCAGAAATGCAAAAAAGGAAAACTTGGCGGAACACCTTCTCCCACCTAGATCTACTCGGATCACCCGCACGAGCCAGGAGGTGAGGCTGAGGAGCCTAACGTCGAGGGAGGCCCGGAAGGAAAGGACACGAAACCGAGCCTTCTCGGCGGTGGCTCCTCGCCTCTGGAATAACCTTCCTCTGGTTATTCGTGCGGCCTCTACGCTGGGCACTTTTAAGAGTCAACTAAAAACATGGTTGTATGTTCAGGCCTTCCCTCCTGTCAATATTTAATTCTTTCTTTATTTTTTCTTTCATTTATTATTTGTTTTATTATTGTATGTGTTATGGACTGTTTGTAAAATTCTTATGTTTTCATATACTGTACACCTTATTGGAAGCTGCCCAGAGTGGTCGACCAGACCAAATGGGCGGGATTTAAATCAAATAAAGAAATAAAGAAATAAACAAAAAACAGACGGCAAGACCCATCGGAAATGCAAAAAGAAAAACACAAAAAGCAAACAGAGACTGCAAGACCCATCAAAAATGCAAAAAGAAAAACACAAAAAGCAAACACTGCAAGACTCATAGGAAATGCAAAAAGAAAAACCCCAAAAGCAAACAAACCCTGCAAGACTCATCAGAAATGGGGGGGACAAAAAAAACATACCCTGCAAGACCCATCACAGCATAGAAACAACCCCACTGAAACCCACACTGCAAAACCCACCCAGAACAACCAGTTTTTAAAAAGCAGAAAGCAGCACCTTACCAAGCAGTCCGAAGCCTCCTCCGATCGCACACACTCTAACTGCTGGAGCGAAAGAGCTACAAAGAAGCAGCCTCTTCGCCACCAACGGTTAGAAGTTTGAATTCCCTACCATTTCCCCTGTCTTTTTTCTGGTTGTAACTCAAAGTTCCAGTCACAAGTAGAAGCAACATTTTGCGGCCGGAGCTGGTCGTAACTCAAAATGGTTGCAAGTCAGGACGGTCGTAAGTCAAGGCACCACTGAATCAGAAAAAGAATCCTCGTAGAATGAACTCTGTCATTCTCAAAATGTTAGTCAATCCTGGGTAGCAGTAGAATCCGCAGGGAATGTCTTTGACGGGAAGGAGATATTGTTGTGCTTGATCACTACTGGAGATGGTTGTTGTGCATTTTTCGGGCTCTTTGGCTATGTTCTGAAGGTTGTTCTTCCTAACGTTTCGCCAGTCTCTGTGGCTGGCATCATCAGAGGACAGCACAGATGCCGGCCATAGAGACTGGCAAAACGTTAGGAAGAACAACCTTCAGAACACGGCCAAAGAGCCGGAAATACCCACAACAATCATTAGATCCCGGCCATGAAAGCCTTTGCGAACACACTACTGGAGATTTTAGAGGATCCTGAGATTTCATATTTCTATTCACATTTTTATCAGCAACTTTTAATGTCAGCTGAAGAACTTTTCTACTACTTCAGTTTAGAACTATTTTTGTGAAGGTACACATTCTGTGTTTTTAAAAGATCCTGATAGTTCCAGAGAAGTAGATGGTTGTTTCTGGTAATCTAGGAAATAAGAGATACAATTATATGGATTTCTCTTATTATTGTAATTTTGTCTATCCAAATCTAATAAAACTTGCCAAAAGATCATCATTATGTATATCAGAACAAATGGCATTTTTTTAACCTTCCTGCTGTTCCACCAAGGCCTCCGGAACATTGGAGAATCTGAGCTAGCAACAAAACTAGCAGTAAATGTGGTGTTGGAGATCCTCTAAACTTCTTGCTAACTACCTGGGTCTTGTCTGTATGCATTAAACTGAAAATAAGTTTTTAATTGTAAAGGGCAGCAAGCATACACCACCCCTCCTTGCACCACCACCTATTGATCAAATTGAGCCAGTGCTTAACCAGCTGAAATTGTAGGAAGTCCAAGCCCCCGGAAGCCAACGGATGTTGGATATTACTTAGAACTACCTTTCACCTGGCCAACATTGTACCAGCATTGTGCAGTGTCCTTGGGTTAGCAGATTTGTCATAATTTGTCTCCTCCCTCTCCATGCCTCCCTTCTTTCTTCTGTTGATCTTAGCCATTAAAACAATTCTGCTGAAAATCACTATTGGCAGATTTCTATAAGATTAGGCAATTCCTTTTGGAAGAAGAGGCTTATTCCTAATCCTGACTCCCTGTCACATTTTGAGCTAGGACTGCAGTACACATCTTTGAAATAAATTTGTAGTATTACTTTGTACTACCTGTAGTTATATTTTGCTGTGTTTGTAATGATAAAGCAATTATTGGGCACATGTGAAAATAAAGTTTGTTTGTTTAAAATATTTTTACTCTGCCTTTTCTTTAAAAAGGGAGAGAGGTGACTTGCCATTGAAATGTTGTCATTGAAGGACAACATTTAAAGCTAAGAAAAATATGTATGCAAATATTAAAAAGAAACAAATGCCACTCTGAGAAATGGTAAACACAAGCGGTACTTAAAGCACAGTCAAAGCAGTAATATATAATGATCCATCTAAAAATCATACTCAGGTAGTCAGTCATTGAGGGAAAGCTTGCCTGAAGAGAAAGGTATTTTTGCCTGCTTGCAGAAGAACAGCAAATATGAGGCCAGTCTGGCCTCCTGGGATGATGGAACCTAAAGAAAGGCCTCTCCTGATGGCCTTAGTACTTGAGCAGGCTCATAAAGAGAAAAGCGATCTTTGAGATAGCTTGGTCGCAGACCATTTAATCCTTAGTATAATCCAGGTTCTTCTAAGGAAGGGTAGGCGGTGCCCTCTCCCTATCTGTGTTGGCAGACAAAGCCTTTTGCATTTAAGCAGAGCTTTGATACTTAAATTTGGACATTTTTTAAAAATCCCTGCAGATAGTGTTTGTCCCTTGTTGAGGTCTCTTAATTATTCATGAATGTCTTTCATTTTAATTCTGTTCATTTTATACGATTTTTATTGCTAGCCTGCTTGAGTGCCACCTTGGGGGTGGGGGGAAGGGCAAGGTGTACATCTAAAAAATAAAAAACCAGGACAGACTTGATTTTGATACCATACATATATTGTTTCTGGCCATAGACCTTTACAATGTAGTGATTACTGTAGCATATAAAATCCAATTAAAACAGGTAATTACCTTAAAAGCATTAAAACCAATAAAACCCGGTCTAAGAATATTGTTATAACGTCAATCCACTGTATTCAGCATTTACATGGCATTATGATCCCTGACAAATTGAAGCCTCAGCCTCTTAGCTGCTAGTGCAAATCGTGCTACAGCATATGTAATGTGCAACTGTGTATCAGTAAGTAATCCTACTACTGTTTCAGTGGTGGTACAGTTAAAATACATCTGAATGATGGGTGACAGAAATCTTTCTCTAGGATTTTTATAGAGAGGACAGAACAGTAGATAATGAGTTAGATCCTCAATCTGGTTGCAGCCAAAAACACATTTTCATTCCTCAAGTGGTCTTCCCTTATATTTCCCTTCAAGGTATGCTGAGGCCATCTGTCCAAATCTAAGTTCTGTAAGAACTCTGCGAATCTGGGGAAAAGTCAACGACTCAAAATATTTTGGTTTTGCATGATTCACTTGAAGTTGGGGATACCAGGTAGAAAAACGGGACCCAACAATAGCTGCCCTATCCTGACTAGCATCAAGATCAAAGATCCAGTTCCTAAGGTCACGAGAGCTTAAACTAAGGAACTTTTCCATCGGAAGGTTATGGACCTTTAATTTTTGGTGACATTGTTGTGCCCATCCACCAGACTTTAGTTGTTCTAACCA